AAATATATGAACTTCATATATTCATTGTATCTGATTTATCATCACGGGTTTATTACGAATCAACCTAACGGCCTGCTCCCAGTTGGCTTGATAGCTCAATTGGTAGAGCGCTGCACTAGTATCGCAGAGGTAAGTGGTTCGAATCCCGTACAGGCCTGATTTTTTTTTCAGGTCTGATTTTCGCTATTGCATAAATAGCGCTATCTACTGCGAAGGATCGTGCATCATACGTAGAGAACAGAGAGTTAAATATATCATCATTTAAGTGAATTAACATAAACTGACTGACAACCACAGATTTACATGTATTGACGATATGTTTACAAATTACACAAAGACGAGCTTGACATCTTTCGTCCGATGAACTTTCTGTTCATATGGCAAAACAACCGTGATCGTATACCGTGACATACTTAATCGAAACTGAAATGATGATGGCGCCATTAAATCTCGAGCTTTGTTTCCGTTTAGCTTTTCTCGCTGTACTTCTACCTCTGGCTTCAGGTGAGCAACATATTATTTGAAATCTACTCGTAACTTATTTTTATCATTTTAATGAGTAAATTAGGCGTAATCGGTTGGATTTATCTTTCACCTTTGAGTTCTAAAGCCTAAGACCTCCGCACCCCATCGCAACTTCATGAATCGCCAATGCAGACAGCATCACCAACGTTTTCTTTTACTTCTATTATCAAATTTAGCGAAATTGGTTGTATGCATTCTTCACTTTTGAGTCGTGAAGCCTAAACGCTTGTAATTCAAACGAGGTCTAACCCATACCGCGGTTTTACTTAGACAATGGGCCTCAGGTTTTCTCTATCAAAGGGTTGACTCAGCGATGAGATGAAAGTACTTCGACTGTTAGTTTTCGGCCCTCTGGTCACTGTTCACAAAAAATAAATGTTCAGGTGAAAGGTTCGGCTTAAATAAAGATCATGTTGAACGCGGTTTTGTTAAACAACGGCTAAACTTTGTTTAAATAACCGGTCCTAAGACTTCCGCACACCGACGTAACTTAATCGCCAATGCAGACAGCATCAATACCAACACCGATTTTCGCATATTTTCATGAAAATATCACCTTAACACGAACCGGAAAGTTAAAATCCTTTGTGCATATACAACTTGCGCAGTGAGGAAGCAAAGAGAAATTTACAAAAGTCAGTTTAAACTTAAATTATTCAACACACAGACAGGGAGTCTGAGTGAAACAACTATAATTATGAGAAGCTATCAGGTGGTAGCATTTGCTTCAATATCAAGTTAAAGAACACTTGGAAATTATTCTACCAGTACTATTTACTCAGTAATTTTAGCTATACAATTTAGTACAAAGATTTCCGTTTAATCCGGTACTATTCTGAGACAAAATTAATCGCAAAGATGATCTGTTGTTTTTCATCAAAAAATTGTATGCATAATGAGGTGAGGATTAAGTATTATGGATTATGCTCACTCCAGCATAAATCAGCTCACTCAGCTAGTATCTTCCTGTATTTCACTCCAGAAACTGTACATTTACACAAAAAGTCAACTTTTCTTTGCTCCAAGAAAGTGTTAAAGACCCAGTTTTCTAAATTTACTGTGGCGAGATCATTTTAGTAAATAAACTCCTTCAGGTAGCTGGTAGGTCGACTGATAACGTCTGCGGCTGAGTTACTGTTTCGTTTGAATAATGAATAATTGGGTGTTTGGGGAAAGCTTAGAGGGCAAACGTGAGACTTTGAGGACGATCTCTCAGCTGTGGACATTATCAGCAGACGTCACTATCACTGGAAAAAAGAGAACAAAGTGAAAAGGAGATAAAAGAAAACTGGGCTTGACAAAGGAAAAAAGAAGACACTGCCTTTACTTAGCGTTAGGAGGTCATCGGTCACTGCGGAATGGCACTTTAGCGTCAATAAAGAATGGAATCTAATTTCTCTTTATTGTATCACCGCTTAAACAACACTTTAGCTCGTCAGAATAAAGGAAATGAGCGCTAGCCGAAGAAGGTCTTGATTCTTCAGCAAAACTCTCATTGTCAACCCTATAGGGAAATGTGTAAAGAACAAAATGGAGAATATAAATAACAATTTTAGGTCACAAAAAATTTTTGAAAAATATTCAATTTCCTACTTTGTTAGCGGTAACCAGCTCTTCTCCTTATTGTTACTCATGTTTTCAAAATGCCAAACGAGTACCTCGGCAGTTCTGTTCGCTTTTTGAAAATTCGAGCGCATGAAAACGATGAAAGCCGATGACCAGTCAGTCACAGTAGACTCAATTTAATACAAACAGCTGAAGTTCTAGAAGAAAAGCTGAAGCACAATTTTAAATAACGAGCCCCTCCCAGGGGTTTTAGGGAACAAGGGAACTGGAACACTTATTTTCAGGGAACAGGGATAAATTATTTTCAGGGAACAAGGGAACACCGATCTACTTTCAATGATGTATCCTTTTTAACTTTCCGAGCCCCTAAAATATGAAATAAATGAGGGGAACAATGATAAACATTTTTGGGCATCGAGGGAACAGCGCAAAAATTTTCGGGATCAAGGCAATATGAGCTAAAAAAAATTTTGGGAACAAGGGGTTCTATTAATGGCGAAAAGGAATAAAATCAAAAAGATTAAGGGATCAATGGAACATGTACCCCCCCCCCTCCACCCTGGGAGGGGCTCAATAACATATAAGATTATGCGAGAAGGGACGAGGTAAACAAAGAAGGATACAAGGTAATTTGGTTATATCAGCTGGTTGAAATTGTAAATTTGCCACCTTAACGAGTTATAAAAAGCTGACGTTTCGAGCGTTAGTCCTTCGACAGATTGAATGACGAAGAGCTACCGTTCGAAACGTCAGCTTTTTTAACTCGTTACGGTGGCCAATTTACAATTTCAAGCTATTAAATATTACCAAATTACCTTGTTACCCCCATCGACACCACCACAGTTTATTTAGAAACTTTCAGCCTTTATTCAAAGAAGGATACATTCAAGCTCCCATCTAATATAAGAGACCGTACAAAACTCGCATTGGAAAACTCGCATTGACATAATGACTTGACTAAAACGAAATTTCCCTTAAAGAACTTTTGTAAAGGGGCGGTTTTTACCTTGAGAGCTAAAAGAGTTGCTCCGAGTTTCGCAATTTGTTAATGATAAGATTATCTTACAAAAGCGGGACAGTTAAAAACCTTCACGCTTTTGTGACTAGCTCAGTCACGGACATTGAGAAAAGAGTTACGAAAGTCAATTTAAACTTTGAACTACTCTGTTAGAGAGTCTGAATCCATCCTGACGATGTTGGGAGGTAACATTTCCATCAATTCAAGTTAAAGCACCCTTGGATTCCATTCTGCCTGTACTATTTATTCCAAAAACGATTCCATTTAATCCGGTATTTCACCAAGACAGAGCTAGGGTCAGATAGTCGATTGCTTTCGGTGTGAATTCATTATTATTTATTATTCTACTACAATGTCATTTTACTAAATAAGGTCATGATAACGTGCAAAATATGCCACGGTAATACACTGTGGAACAGGAAAAAAAAAATTCAGTAAGAAAATGGCCTCACTGAACGATCCAAGCTTTCTTTCTCGTTTCTTTTAGGCTTGCCTTGTAAAGAAACGATATTTCAAGCGCGACAGATTTTTAATTTGTGACTATTATCTCCTGTAGGAGGCATAACAGCACTATATATGATTATATATTATTATATATTATTAGTATATTATACTAAATGGTGGATAGCGTTGAAGACGGGCACTGATAGGAGACTCCGACTTTCCTTTGCAATGTAAGAGAGAAAATAGGGTCACTCGGGAGTTACAATATTTTATTCAAATGTCACCCTAAAATTATCGGTACAGTTGAAAATTTCACTCTATCTATATCTAGCTCAGTTTGAAAGCATAGAGAGATTTTCCAAATTTCAATTAGACTTTAAATCATTTAGCCAACAGACAGACGGTTCTGACACTATTGTGTTGTAATGAAGCTATTGACAATGCACGAGGTGGTCACCTGTGCTTCAATTTCATTAAACAGCACTCTTCGAAATTAATCTACCTGTTCTAAGCAGCTTAAAACAAAGCTTTTACAATTCCAATGATAGTCATTTGTTTTTGCTAATGTTCCTTTCCTCAAAGAACTGTATGCATGACAAGATATCAATTAATTTTATTTTAGATTATGCCTCTTCCAGCGTAGATTAGTTTACTCTGCTATTACTTGCCAGTCGTTTCGTGCCCATGGAACTTTCGTACCAGGCTCAGACGTTTTATATGCACTTTCGATCTGTTCGTACCCAACCCTCTGATCGATTCATACCCAACAAATTATAACAAAAAATGTTTAAAACAAACATAAACATTTATTTCATTTATCATAGTAATCACAAAAAGTTAATTTCTAATCACAGAAGAATTGAAAATTTATCTTTTAGTTAATATTCTTGGAAAATCGTGACCTAGTTGACCCATCTCAATTTTCCTGTATTTTGCCTTCTACCAAGCAGCGCCTAAGACTCAATGTACTTGATCTACTTAGTAAAAAAGCTAATATCTAATTCATAGTAACGTTGAAAAGTTATCTTACTCTTAAACAGTCGTGACCTAGTTGCCCTTTGTGACTTATCCTAAGGTATTTTGAACATTATTACGGAGCGGCTATACAACTAAACGTACTTATTCTACTAAGTAATAAATAAAAAATCCTAGTAGTAAATGCAAGTAATGTCTAGGCTCAGTTCATCACTGCCCTGTTTATATTGGCACATCCTTTGAGAAGCTGCCTCAGTGACTTCTCCTTCTCGTTGAAGGCCTCCCAAGGTTCGAGGAGCCGCCTCTGCATTTCACGCAAGGTGGACCGTTGTATTCGCTTAAGCTTGCGCTCGGAGACTAGACAAATTCCAGTGGAGGGCGCCTATCTTGTGCACGATAATAATTAGCTGTTATTGTCAAGAAACTCGCAAGTATCAACAATAGAAAAGCAAATGACACCTACCTTACGCGAACCACTGACACTTTTATTGTTAAGTAAAGTGCAATAATATAACGAATAAGATCACACATATACCTTGCACGGGCGCGCGTACATCTTAATTGTCCTGTGAATACTAGGAAATATGAAATAAATGTTTATCTTTGTTTTAAACATTTTTTGTCATAATTTGTTGGGTACGAATTGACCAGAGGGTTTGGTACGAACTGATCAAAAGTGGGTACAATACGTCTGAGCGTGGGTACGAATCGTTTGGGTACGAAAGATCCAGGGGTCCGAAACGACTGGATACCCTGCTATTCTGTTGGATCAACCGGTACATTCTTACATTGCGCCTCAGAAACTGTACATTTTCACTAAAACTGAACTTCTCTTTGCCCTAAGAAAGCCAGTTTCAAACCCACTTTAATCATCATAAACTTTCTTCACTTGCCCTCCAGTGCAACACAATAGTTTCAATAGAAACTAAAATCTTTCCTCTTTTTCTCTAAAAGTGAACACGATCAGAAAAGATATTGACAGTATTTCAATGCCGCAGATTTGATTATTCATAACCATGTTACCCCTATGAATGATAATAAGCATGTAGCATCTCCCGGCATCAGTATCACCACTGAATCAAACACCAAGGTCATCAGAATAAAGGAAATGATTGCAGACTCAAGGAGCTCTTTATTTTTAGAAAAATTATGCAAGTATCATGGGAAATCATAAGAGCACAGCGCAGAGAACTTGTGTACTGATGTTAGGGTACAATAGCCTAATAAGGACTTAGATTTCTTTGTAATTTTTGATAAAATTGGTAAGTCATTTTGAATGCAGACAAGCTCTAATTTTTACTATCTGTGACATGGACATTATAGTCAAGGTATATAATACAGACATATAAGGCATACATAATTGGCATTCACAGCCAACCCATGATCCCTTTTGCAATAGTTATGAGTATGTTAATTAAAATGCAAATGTAAAATTTGCTTTTGTAGGGGCTTGCGTTGATTTAGATCTTGGAATGGGAAGGGAGACGATTCCCAACAATGATATTACTGCTTCTACTGTACAAAGTGTTGACACACCAGCCCAGAATGGTCGACTGAACTACACATCAGGATCGTCATGGTGTGCAGGAACAAGTGAAACTAACCCATATCTACAGATCGATCTACAGACACTTCATATCATCTGTGCTGTGTCTTCTCAAGGAAATTCTCAAGCAGATCAGTGGGTGAAGAATTACACACTACAATTTTCCATGAATGGGACAACCTGGATGGACTACAAGGAAGGTGGACAAATCAAGGTATAAACGACTTTCACACTTAAAAAAAATTACCGCTGTAATAATATAAGAGTCCTGATTGCATGAGTTAACGTTTTTTAATTAATACTTCAATAATATTCAATGCAAGTGATTGTTGCTTCTTAAAAGTGGATAAAATTGTCTATAGATGCATGCTGTTATCTCGACCTACATGTAGGGAAAAGTAATATGTGGTTAGATATACTGACTGTCTGTTTCTTCACTAGGTTTTAAGAGGAAGTAATGACAGGAACTCAGAAGTGAAGCATGTTGTTTATGGAGTGTTAACAAGATATCTGCGATTCCTGCCAAAAACTCACCAGGGTGCAGTGTGTATGAGAACAGAGGTGTTTGGAGAAAAAAAAACACCCAGTGAGTGTAGAACTTATATGTATTCATGCATGTTTACAGTGATTAAAGCTCAACTTTTTTCAAATGGGCCATTTATTACTGAAAATTATGTTGTGGTCACCAAAAACAAAAAGCTTAGTGCCAGAGGGATATAGATGAAGAAGGTAAAGGTGGGAATATTATCATGGTGAGAAGGTTAATTTTATCAATGATAGAAATGATTTTCTTGTTTCAAATTTTGGTTCAGATTTTTTTCTTTTGC